TTTTATGTTGGGTTATGTTGACATAAAGGTCCCGTGCAGTGTGTTAGGGTGAGTTATAACACCTGGTTTTTATGTTGGGTTATGTTGACATAAAGGTCCCGTGCAGTGTGTTAGGGTGAGTTATAACATGTGGTTTTTATGTTGGGGTTCCTGTGGTTAAGTAAAGGATTGCTATTTTCCAGGGGACCTACAATCGTATTTTATCGTGCTCTACTGATGGCACTGTTAGGATTTGGGATTTAGATCAACGACGTTCACAGGTATGGCAGACATATTCAATGATGGTTTTCGAACTATTTTACAAGACTTCTAACAATACACCATTGCGTTCCGTGTTTACAAAMTATCAATTTTTATTTTGTTATAGAACGAACCAAGAAATATATCTCTTCATGAGAATACCATAGAAGCAAAAGTTGTTCGAGCTGACAAAAATACAACCCAGAATGCATGATAAATTATGAAAATTGTATAACAAACAAACATATATTTAATCAAATATTTTATTGCAAGTATTACCGGTGTTGACTATTTATTTTTTGTTTATTTGTCCGTCTGTCTGCCGTTAATTTGTGCTTTTGTTTTGTTTTGTTTGTTTGTTTTGGTTGGCAATACAAGTGGTGGTTCAAGAACAGCGGTTATTTGCAGGGTTTTTTATGATTTGTCATTAGGGGGGTCTGTATAATCGGGAATTTTCACAAGATATGAACATGACGTCATAGAAATCAATTTGTCAATTTTAAGCAGAGTTTAATCGATCTTAGTATTACATCTAAATCCATAGTTGACCTAATTCCGCTAGACATGGTAAGTGTACGGCGTTATCTTAGTATTACATCTAAATCCATAGTTGACCTAATTCCGCTAGACATGGTAAGTTTACGGCGTTTGATGTAATATCTTCTATTTCATAAAGATCAAAGATGATTCAACACTATTTTGATTTGTACAATTTCATGGATTATATAAATGCCTTCAAAGATATGTTATATACCCCCATTTACTGGGTTATGAATTTTGCTGACAAACGTCTCTCGACAAGTAGCCCTGTTGGACTTGAACCCTTGTCATTCCATTACAACGACTGATCTAACCAATATGAACTGAGCTCCAAAGACTCGTCAGTTGTAGTTGAGGTTCGTTAACTTTACCGAGGATAAAATTGAAAATCAAAAAGTAATTGTGGAAATCTTTTCAGAGAATTCAGTAAGAACGATCGGATTAGCTCAATGTTTTTTTTTGTTTTTTGTTTTTTTTTTCCTTCTGAGAAAACTTTTTTAATGACGATGAAATATATACCTATTTTTAAAAAGGTTGTCGGATAAAATGGTGGCCGTCAATTGTCAAACGGCTGAAAGTAATCATGGATTTTGCTAATTGAAAGGCAGTAACAACTGATTTGTACTGTAAGATGGTCTGTGGTGAAAATTGGTTCCATTTAGCGTCCATTTCTAGGCAAGGTGAATCACACAAGTGAAATTTTGTTGATCAAAACAGTGTAGCCATCCCTTTTGGCCGTGCAATCTTTCTTCGACATCGCCGTTCTCCCCGACAACGCTTTAGAAACAGGTGTATTTGATTACCTTGAACGTCCTACGGCTCTCGGGATCGCTTTATTGCTTGGGTAATTAACTCTTCCATCGTTTTTCATTCAGTACCTTGACGCCCTCACTTTAATCCTGATCACTGAGGAAGTATCAAAAGTCGTTCATAATGTAGTCAATCCTACATTCGGCTTTTTGATAATAAGATGATTAGTACCGTAAGGAAATAGTAAAAACAAGTTCGATTTCGAACAAAGTCGATTCTAGTGGTCAGTTGGCGAATGCTAACACAAAAACCTCTCKTCCTTTCYAATCGCATACGAGAAAMCATTTTACTCTGATATCAATTGAAAGCAAAGCTCACCTGCACAAACAATGGCACATTTGCCACCCAAACTACTGTTYCTATTATTTGTTTTATGAAAATTCTAAGATTGACGTGTGCAATAGTATATCTGTCTATCTTTTCCTCAAATTATATTTCGTTTTGACACGCGTTTTCATTCAAGGGGTTTCGCGTGATMAACCAACTTCAAATTGCAAGCATTTTCAAGTGTRACCGGTCYGCACTGCTAATGACCTTGGTAAAAAAAGTGAGTACCCAATTTGAGTTTCATGACTTTAACATTTTGTAAACCACTGAAACATTCAAGAGTCAGTTCGGTGGGTCTCTTCTTCACGAACCCAAACATAAGTAGTTATGAGATTAAGGTGCAAGGTGTACATAGATTATCCAGCATCGAGACGAATGTATTTAGCTTTGACACCAACGTCGTCAGCTTTCTCGAAAAATACACAAATTTCCGTGGTATCCTATTTCTTAGTTTGCATTGTAGTCGATCGAGAAGCTTTTGAATAAGGTAAGAWTATTGACTTCGGATTATTGCTACTAAAATAAATTCTTAATTTTACTTTCTAAAATGATAATCTTTTATCTTAGAATATCATGATGTGTGTTTGTGTTCAAGTTTAGCTCTACCCCGACTAGTGTTAATCATAAAATGTAGTAATTTCTGCATTGTTTTAATGCATACGATATTCTCGCTTACAAAAGTGAAAAGTCAGTAATTAAATTGACTTGTCTTCCTTTTCCAGTGAATATAATATGAGCATTTTTAAATAGTATTATAATCTAGACATGTAAATTCTCACGAGAGAAGGTATTTAAAATGCGTTTTAGTTTGTCTTGTAAATCCAGCTGAAACGATTGTCTAATGACGGCAGCCTCTCAAGTTCGTTGTCTGGCAACTGACATAAGTTGGTCAAAAATTAAGTAAAATAAACATTATACCAGTCAGTTGTTTTGTTTATTTATCTCATTCTATTCTCTTTCTCAAAAGTTGTTTTATTTTTGCCGGTTAGTTTTCATATATCAATTCGTTTTGTTGTAGCTTACATTATGCAAATTAGATGACCTCGAAGCATCATGGGATGTCTAGCTCATTTTGTTGAACATGGCACGAGTTWTAAGCACAGCCTGTAAGTGAGTCATTTCATCACTAAACTAATCGATGATTACATTGGAAGACGACGTGTATGTGTTTACACATGTACTTTAGCTGTGCATTCAATTCGATCAGCCTACCAATGGGATTATAGCTGTGTGTTTGCATCAAGAAACACACTACGCACCAGAATGCTTTGCTCACTCAGTTTTGCAAAGTAATTGGTGTCAATTGTTTCATGATGGTTTCAGGGCGAACTGTGTTCTTGKAAGGCACTATTGGTCTAAGTGTAGGGCCGCATATAGTCTTGGGTTTCTGATGTAGCGGCTCATGCTAGTATTTCCAAGCATTATGCCCGGGCACTAATACTGTGAACAATGCAYGCTGTTATGGTTCAATATTCCTGAGTGAAAGCCTTTAAAATGCACHTGTGCCTTGATTATTTGTCTAAAATGATAATTTATAATATCATCAGTAAAGCTCTACAAAAAATGCTTGCAAATAGAGAACAGACAGAATAGGTGACAGAATAGGTATCGTCGCATTAACATTGAAATATTATATCGTTATTTTTCTCMATCRTACCTKSATGTTTCCAGGGAATTCCTGTAAGTCTTTAAAGTGTGGTGACAACTGCTCTGCTTGAGAGCAGACCGTTTKTTAAAAACCCTATCCAAAAAGCGAAAAMCAAAAAAMCCTTAWACATGCTGCCGGCATTTACCGAAATTATTGACAAAATGTTTCYCTGCTTTCTKTCTCCACCTGCAGGTTTGATCAGCCATCAAAAAATGATCCCAAACAACCGTCTCTAAATTCAAATATTTTGACTAGAGAAACAGTTTAATTTTCAGCTATCAAATATAAACAGGSAAAATGCTTTATATTAACATGGATATATCTTGAACTACAATTCGATATCAATAGAGTACGCCTTAATGACATATGCAAAATACATTGACTAATTGCTCTTTTGTCCAGTCTTTGTCTCTCTTATACTGACTGATRTATTCAAATTTATGATGAAATAGTAATTACAATAACTGTTGAATGATAACAACTGACCATAACTTGTCTTACAAGCARGAATTGCCAGCCGTGCACAACCGTGGTTCCTTGAGGTTGGTACATTACAGTCTTCGTGTGTTTTATAAGAATGTTTTTATTTGTAGAGCCGTGGTGTGTGTCTTTAACGGCGCATTAGCTGTCTTTTAGTTTGTAAAAATGATCCTAATGTACTGGCAACATAAATGACTCGATTATAGCCATAGCTGGGGCCATAGCCATAGCTACTTAAACTTTCTTAAATTGTGAACTTCAAAGTCAATAATTATTGTAGAGGTAAGCTTTTAAACACAAAGTGTATCGCACAAGGGGTCCCTAATTAAAACTGCTGTCAAATATGCCCTCACTTTCCATCCATTATTGGTGGAATTGAGTCTCAAGACCCTAGACAATACWGTTACAAGACCCTCATTACATCGCYATTGTAGAGGCAATWCTCTGCTATTGTGGATAKTTATTCATGCTAGTGAATCAGTTACTATGGTTACTGAATACGATAGTACGTCTTCCTGCCGGTATGGTTCCAGTGTGTTTTACAAACGGACTATTAACAAGAGATAGACTTGTAATTTTGACCTGTTTATACTTCCCTGAGGGAAATAATGAATATTTAATCAACTTATTGAATAAAGTAGGCATCCAATCACGACTGGGATTTAAATTGACAAACAAATCAACAAAAAAAGCTATGAAGGTTTCCAATCTATCATCTATATACCTGTTTGATTTGGGATCATTTTCTCTAAACAAAACGAGGTTTTATAATTTTGAATAAATGTGTCGCAGTGCAATCTAAGAAATGRATCGCCCGAAAAAAGTTCGGGAATTCAACGGAAATCGGACCCATGCACTGCTCTACAGCTAGTTGTGTCTATAAAATTTGCGAATAATTATTTTAGCTTTTATCAATTTTGAGGTMCTGTTGAAAAAKCATATTTCGTGCTAACTGCGCTAATCGAATAAATTAAGACAACTCTTATCAGCGTTAACTATGGCGTTACGAATTTCATAAAGCGATTGAACTTCTTTGGCATTCCCTTGATGCCTTGCAAGCGAGCGATAGAGAGATGACACCATCCATCACACTTCTGTGTGTCTGGGAGCATTTCTTGATTACRAATATTCCATAAAACAAATAATACATATTGAATTAACGTCTGTATTTACAAACATAAGTTGCTGAATCTGCTTCAAACACAAGTATGTAGGCCACGAGTCACGTGCTGTCGTCCCTCGAACCATCGCTGCTCTCGTGCGTAATGTCGCTGACATCAGGTAAAGAAGGCTCAGCTTGCATTCTTAAATATTCTAAGCTTAGACGTGATTGACTTTTTTGTCAAAACTCTAGACCGATCCTTCAAAGTCGAGACGTTTCGAAGCACTTTTGAAAAGCACTTGAAAGAAACGACAGTTGTTTGRATCACTTGAGAGCTATCTAGGGAACCAACTTGTCTTGAATAGTGT